TTTTTACATCGTGGCGACCAAAACTGGATGCCGTGTTCCAAGTGTGGCCTTACCAAGGCCTTGTAAAGTGGTATCAACACTTCACGTGATCTTGATTCTATCCTTCTGTTTATGCAGCCTAGAACTGTGTTGGCTGTTTTTGGGGAAGAAATGGGTTGATATCATTAAAAAGGTTTCTTGATTCCTGTGAAAATCCTGGCTTGGGCGCGCATCTTAAACACGCCTCCCAACCAGGAAAGTGAGTTGCTATTCCCAGATTGCCGCTGGAGGAATTGCCAGTGGGTTGGGCTAGATGATCTCCAAGCCTCCCCCCCACCCCCGTTGTGATGGTTCAGGGATTCTATCATTGAACTTTGTGAATTTCTAATCCCAAAATCTGATTGAATCCATGATTCTTCATTCCGCCATTTAGCTGGGAACCCCTTAGCTGCCCCATAACACAAAATTTGGGGGTGGGGGGCAGGGGAACAAGGAAGGGGATGTTTTTGGCACCTCCCAAGAACGGAATAAGAAGTAATTTCAATATTTTAAAGTCAACAACCAGATCACAAGCTGGAAATAAAGCTCAGCAAACGATTGCCGTTAACTATCTGGATTTCTATAACCTTACATCCAACTGGATAGCTAGAATTGCTTTTAAAAAAAATCAAGATTTTCAAGATTAGGGAATTTTTTTGTGGGGGGGGGACCCGGTGTGAACGGATGTCATTGTAAGTCGACATCTTAGGTGCCCCTCCCCCTTAGACTTTGCAAGAAACAAAAAACAGAATGGCTTTGCTCCAGCAATGGAACTGCCATTTACAGAAGCAGTCTACCCCCAAAACCAACCACCACCCCTCTCACACTTCCATTCCAAAGATCCTTTGTGTTTTTGCATTGGTTGGATGTATTATTCTGGAATCCGAAAGGAAGAGAGGAAAACAACGCACGCGTGTTGTGTAAATATATATATATCTTTATGTATACATATATTTAATTGGCATCAGAGGAATTAAAACCACAGCAATAATCTGAAAGCATCCTCTATTGTTACAAAGTTTTCTGGCCGGTTACTTCCAGCCAGTAAATTGTGGTATAATCCACGATATACTTTTCTCCTTATTAAAGATACATAAACAGGCAGAGCCTTCACAAAAGGCGAGCAGATTTCTGACAAAAATGAAAGAAACTTTATAAAGTCCACCTCCCAAGGGAGTACGGAATTTGCAGGACAGGAGTTCCTTAAAAATGGGGAGAGGGGAGGGTTAGGGGGAGGGAGGGAAGGAAGGAAGGAAGGGAGAGAGAGAGGGAGGAGAAGGCAGGAGAAAGGGGAAGGAGGAAAGGAAGGAAGCAGGGAAGGAAAGAGGGAGGAAGGAAAGGAAGGAAAGAAAGAAGGAAGGAGAAAGCAGGAGAGGAAGGAAGGAGAAAGCAAGAGAGGAAGGAAGGAGAAGGCAGGAGAAAGGGGAAGGAGGCAAGGAAGGAAGCTGGGAAGGAAAGGGAGGGAAGGAAGGAAAGTAGGACAGGAAGAAAGGAAGGAGAAGGCAGAGGGAGAGAGGAAGGACAGAAAGAAAAGGAATAAAAGAAGAAACAAAAAGGAAGAGAAGCAAGGGAGAAAGGGATGGAAGAAAAGATGAAGAGAATGAAGGAAGGAAAAGGAAGAGGTCAACTTTTTTTGATACAAACTACTCCTTTTAAAGCCTCACCACCCCAAAGCCCCCTTCTTTCCGAAGGACACCACATTCCCAGAGATTCCCACAGCCTTCCGGGCCCCACTCCCCTTTGCAAAGCAGCTCCCAGATTGGACACGAAGCCCCCAGCCCCTAAACCCACTGGGTTTGATACAGCGTGGGGTCTTTATAACTGTCTCTCTCTCTGTGTTCCTGCAGAACTCATCCCTTCACTATGAAGGAAAAAACGTGGGAAGAGAAGGGGTTCTCTTTTACCCCCACTCCCCAACAACGGGGGGGGGAACCCATCCCCCTAATTCTTCTCCTGGTTGGGAATCCACGGATTGGGGCGAGTGGGCCTTTCCAATGACCTCTTCCGGGGGTCTTCAGGGGGGTCAGCCACCAGCTCTACCACGGTCTCCAGATGAAGGCTGCGGCTGGTGGGGTGGGCTTCTTGGCGGCGGGCGGCTTCTTGGGCGCAGGAGACGAGAGGAGGGAGAAGGTGGCATCGGAGATGGTGTGGATTTTGCAGAAATGTTTGATCAGTCGGGCCTGGGTCTCCTTCTTGGTCTGGCAGAAGGAGAGGAAGCAGAAGGCTTCCCTTAAGCAGCGCAGGTAACCCGTGTGGAAATCGAATTCGGGGTTTTTCACGCCTAGAAAAAAAGAAGAGGAGATGGAACCACGGTTAGTTCGTCTTGGGCTTGGAAGCGAGAAACGTTTTGCAAATATGCTCCGTTGCATTCGTCACATTTGCTCCAAGGAGTGGCACGACGGCCTAAGAGGCGGAGTGCTTGCCTCACCCATCAGGAGGCTGTGAGTTCGATCCTACCGTGTTTCCCCAAAAATAAGACAGGATCTTATTTTCTTTTGACCCCTGAAATAATCACTGGGCCTTATTTTCGGGGAGTGGTCACCTCATGGCTGCTGCCGTGTTGCAATATTTTCAGGGGAGGGCTTATTTTTAGCACATGCGCTCAAAAGCCCGATGGGGCTTATTATCCGGGGAGGTCTTATTTTGGGGAAAACATGGTTGGTAGAGGCAGGTATTCCTCTCTCTCTCTGGGCACAACGAGGATATATCTGCTGAATAAAAAAAACTCTGTTCTGGTGACAGGAAGGGCATCTGGCCAGGAAGCATTCCGCTCCATTCAGTTGCTCAAGATTGCGCCCTGCAAGGGATTATGGGGGTCTTTGAAAGAAGAGGGTGATTTGCGCCAAAGAAAGAGGCCATAATTTGGGCCCCGGGGCTGTTCCCAACACCTTTGCAAGGTAGGCAGGAAGGAAGGAGGATTGATTGTGGCCTGGGAAGCTGTCATTCTTTTGCAAACACCTTCCTTGGTTTGCTATGTCTGTCAATCAATGAACCTCAAAAAGAAACATTTCCAAACTTTGAAGCACAAAAAAGCTCTCATTTCCTGGCCAGGAATTATTGTTATTATTTATTAAATTGATTTGCCTTCCCCCCCCCCCACCATCTTGTTTCCTACAAGACTGTGGGAAAGAATAAAATTGGGATTTTATAATCCCCCCCCCCTTCGATGTCCATCTTAATTTTGCATTTACCTGATTCCTGCATCTGATGCTGTTTCTTCAGATAGCTGACAGCCGTTTCTAAAATGTCAGCTTTCTCCAACTTGGTATTGGGTTGGTGGCACTGGAATTCCCTCTCCAGCAAAACTTTCAGCTGCTCGATGCTGCTGTTAATCCGGTCGCGGCGCATTTTCTCCACCACCGGTTTCCTCAGCTGTGAGAAAGAAAAGAGGAGAAGAGAAGAGAAGAGAAGGGATTAAAGGAGAAGAGGAGAGAAGAGAAGGAATTAGAGGAGAAGAGGAGAGAAGAGAAGGAATTGAGAAGAGAAGGAATTAAAGGAGAAAAGAAGAAGATAGAAGGAATTAGAAGAGAAGAGAAGGAATTAGAAGAGAAGAGAAAGAATTAGAAGAGAGAAGAAAAGAGAAGGAATCAGAGAAGAGAAGGAATTAAAGGAGAGGAGAAGATAAGATAAAAAATAGAAGGGAAAAGGAAGGAAGGAAAAAACATATTAAAACCTCAAGCTAAACACGAAAGAAGCAACAGTCGTGAGATTTTAAGGAAGGAAGGGGACTTTCCTCCCTTAAAAAAAAATACTGTTTCCTGCAATCAAGTTTATATTTTTCTGTTTTTGTTTTTTTTAGAGGAGGCCCTCAAACAGAGGATAACTAGTGCCAAGCTGTTATCTGGGCAGGGGGGTGAGATTGGATGACCTCTGAGGTGCCTTCCGTTTCCACAATTCTACTGGCAAACATCCTTTCCTAAAGAGGTCGAAGTGGACAATTTTTTCCCTTGCAGAACCTTCCTTCCTTCCTTCCTTCCTTCCTTCCTTCCTTCCTTCCTTCCTTCCTTCCTTCCTTCCTTCCTTCCCCTGCCTGTTCCCATTTCACTGCCTGCCTCTGTTCAAAGGACTGCATGTCTGAATCGTATCCTGTTCTGATATTATTTTAATTTATGTATTAACTTGCTGAGAGCCATCATCCTGAATGGACAACCAGCCAGGAATCCCTGGGGCAGAGACCCAGATGTTAACAGAATTACAGAATAACAAGAGTCGGAAGGGACCTTGGAGGTCTTCTAGTCCAACCCCCTGCTCAAGCAGGAGACCCTAGACCATTTCAATCAATCATTCAATCAGAATAGAGCTGGAAGGGACCTNGAAAACCTCATTTTCCAGGAATTCACATTTTTGTAGAGTGGAACAAGCACCAATGGCTAAGAGAGACCCTGCAGAAGGCCATGGACCCCTTTGGAAAACCAGCAAAGGATGGAGAAGAGTGGGGGGGGGTAGGATTAACCCCCACATTCGTCCAGGAGTGGAATGTCTTCTGCTTTGGGCCGAGGGTTGGACTAGAAGACCTCTAGAGTCCCTTTCATTGTTTTCTGCCGCGTCGCGTCCAGAAGCCCTGTAGCTTCATCTCCACCCCCCACAAAAAACCCCATCTCTCCTTGCCACATGGCTGAGACCCTCCGTCCTGGGGGGGAGGTTTGAAAACCCTCCGTCGTTCCCACACATTTCCTGAATGGCACCCACCCTTTGACACAACGGCGTGTGCCATTCACAAAAAGCCACATTAGTTCCACTCTTCGACTCGGCTTTTGTCTTCAGTGGGAAAAGAGGCCGAAATGCTGCTTTTTTTTTTTTAGGGTTTGGGGGTTTCCCCCCCCCCACCCTCCTCTTTTGAAATCTTGCATGTGCCTTGAAAAAAAACAACCCCAAACATCTGGCAATGATGTGGGAAGACTGTCTTTCAAAGCCACACTGGGCACTAAAAATCGCACGCCGGGCTAAAAAAATCCGGAAGTGCCTGTGACTCGGAGGAGCCCCCTAAAAGGAGCAAATTGCACCCTCTTTTTATGTCTTTATGGCCGGGCTATCCCAACTTTTTCTTCTCAAGTCTGGAGAGGCGTGGGAAGAAAAAGCCTCCACATTTTCCCCAGCTGAAAAACTTTCAGGCCTCTCCTGGGGAAAAAAATGGAAAAAAAAAATTGCAGAAAAGGTTTGCATACAATTGAGTGTAACAAGTACAAATGAGAGAGAGAGAAATAAGGTATGTATGTAGGTAGGTAGATAGGTAGATACATGGATAAGAGATGGATGGATGGATGGATGGATGGACGGACGGACGGACAGACAGACAGACAGACACAGACAGACAGACTAGCGGGGGATGGATGGGCAGATAGATAGATAGATAGATAGATAGATAGATAGATAGATAGATAGATAGATAGATAGATAGATAGATAGATAGGAGAGCGAGAGCGAGAGAGGGAGCAT